TAGATGCAAAAATATTATTTTGGAGGAAGGTGTGCCTTTAATTCTAGCACTTGGGAGGCAGAGGCAGGTGGATCTCTGGAGTTCGAGGCCACCGTCCTCTGTAGAGTGAGTTCCAAGACAGCCAGCACTACACAGAAAAACCCTGTCTTGAACAATAGTAATTGAAAATTAGAAAAAATTATGTGGTTTATATAAAGCACAAGAAATTTCAATTAAAGAACATATTTCTTTGTGTGTGTATATATGTATATAAACATAAATTATTTATATATATACATATATATATATATGTATATATATAAATAATTTATGTTTAAGAAGAGCACCTTTGCCCAAGTCCATAGTATACTTAGGGAGAGTTCTATATTCTATATAGCACTTTAGTATATGCCTTTTATCTGACATGCCACCATGCAATCTGTGAAACACAAAACAGTAACTTTTACAGTTGCTGATCTTTAGGAGGAAATATAAACACCAGGTGCAATTCTCTCCAAGATTAGCATCTCAGAACCTACACATCCAACATAAATCAAACTCTGGTATAATCTTGGAAGTTACATACTTATTTCAGTGATGCTGGTACAGCTGGAAATACATTTGAAACGTTTTAGAAATACACACGCAGTCTCATTACACTGTAGTCAAAATTCATTTCAATCAGTTTTAGACTTAAAAAGGAACTCATTAGTCTTAAAATATCAACTGCTTCCAAAATATTTAGATCTATATTAAAGACAAGAATTCGCTACCCTGAGATTATTCAAATGATTGTGAACCATAAGCTATGAAGATTAACTGCAAAAAATGCTTCAAAGCAGTACCTGCTTTCAGTAATGGTAACAGTACTGGAACACAGTAGACAGTTTCCTAGGACAACTGTATGAACATTTAATCAATAAAAGACAACAACAACAACAACAAAAAAATCCAAACAAAACTCAAACCTATTAATTCCTTATAGTCATTCCTATTAAAAATTAAATCTTTCATTGAGTTTGACTGGATTTATTTAAAGCCAGATTATCTCATCTCTGGCCCACTAAGTAAAATTATTATTTTAAATTTCAGACACTACAAGCACTATGAAAGAAGCACTATTAAGCAAAGCTTAAGCAATACAGGTAAACTTAGAAAGAGAATATAACTTTTGAAAATGAAAGAAACACCAACAGGCCACATCTGTCAGAAAACCAGGAAGGCTGACCGACCACAGGTCTCTCAAACCCACTGTTCCCCAGTCTCCTCCCCAGCTCTGCAGCAAAACACCTGCAGCAGCTTTCCCTGTCCCCATCTACTGTGGCTCTCACAGATTCGTCTTCTGACCTCCCCCCCCCCCCAGACTCATTGCTTTGTCCCAGCTCCCAGCCCCAGCAGGCACTCCATCCTAACCCAAGGGTCTCTCCAGCTAGAGAAACAAGTAGACTGAGGTAGATCCACACCTCTTCTGCTCCAATTTTACAGCTCTGTAACTGTGCTCTCCCTTTCCTCTGACCCCATCCACAAAGAATCAGAAAGAACATCGTCCACAACCTTCCTTCCCACAACTCATCCCATTATCCCAGTCTCCAAAACCAGCAGGCATTCACTGGAAAGACAAGAGCTAGGACCGGAAAATTTTCTACCAGGCAGCACACACTCACCACATTCTCCTTAGTTTAGGGAAGAAGCAGAAAACAAAGAACAGAACAATCACTAACAGAGACAAAACCAGGTACCATCACCCAGATCTAAAATCATCCCAATCCCGTATGACTAGACATCAGCATAAAAACATAATCAGTAACAGCAAGGACAGTATGTGTCCACTAGATCCCAGCAACCCTACCACAGCAGGCAGTGAATATTGCAACACAGCTGAAATCCAAATAAATAAATAAAATACAAAAATAAAAAAGACCATAAAATATGTATGAAGATGATAGAGGTTTTAAAAGAGAAAATGATTAAGTTCCTTAAGGAAAACAGGAAAACAGAGTTGTAGGAATAAAACTGTTTCAAGATCTGAAAATGGAAACAGAACCAAAAAGCACAAACTGAGAATTCTAGAAATGAAAAAAATGAAAATTTGGGGAATTTGAACAGGAACTAAAGAGGCAAGTTTAACCAACAGAATACAAGAGATGGAAGAGAGAATCTCAGGCATTGAAGATATGACAAAAAAAAAAAAAAAAAAAAAAAAAAATAAGAATATACCAGTCAAAGGAAATGTTAAATTTAAAAATCTCCTATAAAACATCCAAGAAATCTGGGACACCATGAAAAGACCAAATCTAATCATGAGAATAGAGGAAGGAGAAGAAACCTAGTTCATAAGCCCAGGACAGATTTTCAACAAAATCATATAAGAAAATTTTCCTAATATAAGGAGATGACTAAAAAGGTAAAAGCATACAGAACTTAGCCAAATAAAATGGACCAGAAAAGAAACTCTCCATGACTCACAATAATCAACACATTAACTGTACAGAACAAGAAAGAATACTAAAAGCTCCAAGGGAGAAAGTCCAAGAATTACACCTGACCTCTCAATGGAGACTCAACTAGCCAGGTGGCGAAAGGAAGACATGCTGCAGACTCTGTAGGAAAGAGTCACAACATTAGGAAGGTTGAGAACCACAGAGAAAGACAAAAAAAAAAAAAAAAAAAAAAAAAAAATCCAAATTAGAAATGAAAAGGGGGACATAGCAACAGACAGCATGGAAATCCAGAAAATCTTAAGTACATCATTCAAAAGTGGACTCTACCAAAATGCAAAGTCTTAAAAAAATAATACCACTTGTCAAAGTTAAATCAAGATCAGAGAAGCAATTTAAACATGTCTGTAATGCCTAGAGAAATAGAAGCAGTAACTAAGTCTACCAACCAGAAAAGCTCAGGGCCACATGGTTTTTGCACAGAATTCTAGCAGAATTTCAAAGAGTTAAGATCAATACTCCTAAAATTATTCCACAAAATAGACTACTCCTGAATTCATTTTTTTTGAGGCTACAAGTGCCTTGATATGAAAACTACATGAAGATCTAATAAAGAAAGAATTACAGGCCAATTTCCCTTACAAATATAGATGGAAAAATACTCGAAAATAACTTGCAACCCTAATCCAAGAACACATCAAAATGATCATCCACCATAATCAAGAAGGCTTCATCACAGCAGTACAGGGATGGATGCAAAGATACTCCATGTTCACAGACTGGTAGGATTAACATAGTAAAAACAGCATCCTACCAAAAACAATCTACATATTCAATGCAGTATTCACCAAAATTTCAACACAATTCTTCACAAATCTTGAAAGAATATCTCAATTCCATATGGAAGTACAAAACCCTCTGGATAGCTAAAACAATCTTGAACAACAGCAACAAAAACTGTATGAGGTCTCATAATCTCAAGTTATACTACAAAGCTACAGAAATAAAAAAAAAAAAACAATCGCTGTAATGGCATAAAAATAGATACACTGATCAATCAAATCAAAACCAGATACACTGAACCTGATAGAAGAGAAAGTGGGGAAGGACAGCTTCCTGAACAAAACATCAATAGCGCAGGTACTAAGGTCAACAGTTACATGGGACTTCATTACACTGAAAAGCTTGTGTAAGGAAAAGGACATAGTCAGTAGGACAAAGCAGCAGTCTACAGAATGGGAAAAGATCTTCACCAACTGCACACCTAATAGAGGACTAAGAAACTACGTCATCAAAAACCCAAATAACCCAACTAAAAAATGGGGTATAAATCTAAACAGAATTTTCAATACAGGAAACTCAAATGGCTAAGAAACAAAGAATGTTCAACATCCTTAGACATCAGGTCAATGTAGATTAAAATGACCCTGAAATTTCATCAGAAACCTGTCAGAATAGTTAAGATCAATTATACAAGTCACAGGTCATGCTGGTGAGGATGTTTAGCAAGAGGGACATGCTTCCATTGCTGGTAGGAGTGCAAACTTGCACAGCCACTTTGGAAATCAGTATGGTGATTCTTTAAAAAAGTGGGAAATGATCTACCTCAAGATTGAGCTATACCCAAAGGATGTTTCATTCTACCATGGATACATGGATACACTTGTTCAACCTTGTTCAGAGACTGGAAACAGTCTAGATGTCCATTAATAGATGAATGGATAAAAAACATGATATATTTATACAATGGAGTAGTACTCAACTATATTAAAAAAAAAAAAAACTGTGCAAATGGATGGAATTAGAAAAAACGTCATCCTGAGTGAAGTAATCCAGAAAGAGAAATATGGTATGCATTTGATTATAATTGCATATTACTTGTTATATATCAGTGCCTTATTCAGGCATCATCAGAGAGGTTTCCCCCTATAGCAGACGGGAACAAATATAGACACCCATAGCCACACATTATGCAGAGAGGGTTGGAAAGAGAGAGAGAGGGAGGGGGGCATGCACCTTGGAACATAGCTTAAAACAAGATGTCTCCATCAAATTCCTCTCCTCAGAGGTCAGGGAACTCCATAGAAGAAACAGATGGTGTTGGAGAGACAAAGGGGACAGAGGACACCAGGAGAACAAGACCCTTCCTGAGCAAGGCTCATGTGAAATCACAGAGACGGAAGCAGCAAGCCCAGGGCCTAGACGGGTCTGCTCCAGGTCCCCTACACACACTACAGCTTTCAGTTTAGCACCTTTATGTGTGTGAGTAGGTCTCAGATTCTTGTTTGCTTTTGGAGTTCTTTTTATTTTTCTGTTGACTTGGCTTGTCCAACTTCAATCTGGTGGTTTTGATTTTATCTTACTATATCTTATTTTGTTATGTTTAATTGTTGTCTCCTAGAAGCCTATTCTTTTCCAATGAGAGACAGAAACGGGTGGATCTGGATGGGAGAGGAGGTGGGAAAGAATTTATGTTTAATAAAAGGCAACAACCCACCCCCCCCAAAAGAAAAAGAAATTTAATTTGGGAGAAGTCACCAAATCGTAACATTTTAAGTATATGCACAAGTAAATCACGCTCTATTGAGCTTTAAAAAATGTATTTTAATCTCATTCCAAACAAAATTTCTAGATACAAATACATCTTATTCAAATCACTTTTTAACATTCTGCAACATAAAATATTATAAGGATTCAATATTTTCATCTTTTATAACCTCAATATATTATATATTTAATATATAATATAAACACAATACATACATGTAGTCAGCAGGATTACAAAGTAATTTTTAAATTTGATCAGTATTGATAAATATTTTTAGATTAAACATAACTATGTAGAATCAAAAAAATAAAATACAGCAGACCCAAAACTAACAGTGAGACTGCAAATGTTCAAATAGCCAATCATTTGAAAAGAACTTTCAAGCTTGGTGGCATACATTTTAAACAATACATTTGCTACTCTCAAGTAGCAGTACTTGTAGACATTAGGCATTTATATCTCCATTCAATTTAAAATGACTATGCAGCTTTTCTTACTGTAATATACAGTAGCGTTCTCTTCCTTTCTGTTGGATTATTTTGTTTATTTGAAGACGAATAGATTACCAACAGAAGTGAGTTTAGTTCTTTTCCCTCCCCTAGAGCATGGCTCAGTTTTGAAGATTGTTCTATAGGCAGCAACTAAGTAATAACAGTACCACAACACCATGAAGAATAACCAGTAACTGGAGTCCTAGGAGTCTGTTGGAGATTTGCACTGTAAACCAAGGCAATCAGAAGGATTACCCCTGCAGATAGCCCTCTCCCATTACTTAATACAGTGAGTTACAATTCCAATGCCACAGTGTAACAGTGTAACAACCTTTCCTGGGATTTTTAAATATCACAACATGGATTCACCCTGAGAGCAGAGGAAGCATTGAAAACAAGACACTCCAATAATTCTTTTTCTCCTTTGTATTTGCATTCTTCTTTTGTCAACCCTTCAAGGGCACAACTATTCGAATTTGAAGTGTGACTTGGACATCCATTTTTGACTGAAATTCATGCCACTGTCAGATACTGATGATAGAAAAGCCCAAAAAGGCTTGTGGAAAAGAGGCAAGCTGCAATCCACCATGTCAAAAATGACAGAAGTCCCCGAAAAAGGAGGGGGGTGAAGATGGTTTTTAAGCTGCTCAGTGCTATGGTGATTTGTGTAACAGTCACCTTCATCTTCCCATCAGCTGACGGTAGTTCAGAGACAGAGTTGGAAGGGAGGTTATTCACTGGTAAGGGAGAGACAGCTTCTGGATAAATCCCCCAGGAATGATTGCCTAGAATATTCAAGACACAAACTTGATAAAACAAACAAACAAACAATCAAATAAACATCAGAAAACCTTACATTCCCCCACCCATATTAGGAACTAAGTTTAGTGATACAGTAAATCATTTTATGTTGAAAATAAAGTAGTAGTTTTCTATTTGTTAAGAGAACACATTTTATAGGATGGTTTTTAAAATAAAATTATTAAAAACCAAGTCTGAGAAGACTTTCAATTCACTGTAGTAAAATCTGGAAATCCCTAAGCTATGAATCGATCGCCTTTACTGACAACAGACTCATTCACTTCCTAGAAATCCTTTCTACCTCCACAGCATCACAACAAATGTCTTTCTGAGAAACTACGGATGACATCAATGTGAGCAACTACTAGTGGCTTTTGAACTGGTTTCATCATAAGCTTTTCTACCTTGCACAGGATATGACTCACACAATGTAACTGAGGTACCTGCCTGGTACGGAACACAGGTTCTAGGGCACATGTATATTTATCATCAGCTCTATGCTTAGGTGAGCCTACTGAGATCATACTTAAGAGTTTCTTTGCGCTTCCAAGCCTGAACAATAGCAGGCTGCCCATCTAAGAGAAGATAAGCAGGGTAACAATGGGAAGTTCCTGGTTATTAGCACATAAGGAAACTGATAGTTCAGACCTCCCTTATTCCCTGAAAATCCTTTACCCTTTTTACATAAGTTGTCTAAAATTAAACTCTCTACACAATCCTGTAGTCTACTCAAGTTTACAAAGACTTTGTAATAATTAAATATTAGGCAGTAACAAACCTTTAATTCACTTACTTCTACATTAATGTCTAAACAAGTACTTACACACATTATATGAGAAATCTGGAAATTAACATTAAAATAATAACCCTTACAATCAGAAAGTAAGAAAACCATATACTCCTGGGCTTCTAACATCAAGACCAATCAACTTCTAGAGATACAACTTTCCCTGACTCCTCCTAAAGCTACAATAACCATAGCAGCAACATCATGCGTGCATTTCTGTGCCAGTAACAGAAAAGGAATTAACTATAGGTAGAAAGCATGGGTATTTTTCAGTTGCCATGACATGCCTACCTAGTGTTTTCAAAAGCAGAGTTGTATGAAGCAGCATTACCAGAGGGGCCACATACTGCAGGGCAATGACACAAAGGTAATAAAAGACTCGAGCCACCTGCAACCAACAACATGCTTAAGTCTCTAATACAGCCGACATATTACGAGTGAATTAACTTTCATAAAATCATCCAACTGAAATGCTTATAAATAATCCTTTCACAAGAAGAAAGCTAAATATTATTCATTTACATTTCATTATACACATACCCTGATTTCAGAAAGGCTCAACCTAAAGGTAAGATTTTAGAATTTGGAAATAGTACAAAATTTTTAAAGAAACATTTCAAAGGTAAAGCAAAATACTAAAATCTCTATGGAGAACTACTTAAATATCAAGGTAAATAACTGTGACAGGAAGGTATGTATAATCATGAACTTATAAATAAATAACACTAAATCATCATTCTAAATGAACACATTTGGGGTCAAATTTTGAATGACATGATAATATATGAAACAAAATGACAAAACACAGGGGCCCCAAATTATAGTAAGTCTAAAAGGAAAGAGGACTAGATTACGGACCAATTATAATGGTGGTAGATTATTCACATTTTTCTTCTCTAAAAATCTCTCCTAAGGGCAGATCTCTGAGTTCAAGGCCAGTCTGGTCTACAGAGCAAGTCCCAGGACAACCTCCAAAGCAATACAGAGAAACTCTGTATCAACATAACCAAAAAAAAAATCTCTCCTCAGTACATAACATTCACATGGAAGCACATGGAGGAATGTTAAAAGGAATGATCAGAGGCACTAAATTTCCCACCTTTCTATTCATGAGGTCTGGACAATATATTATAATACCTTTCTGATCATCAGTCGGGTCCCTGCTCAGCCACAGCTTTGCAGCACCCACCAGTATTGACGCTTACAGCCAAAGGCAGGAAGACAAGTCAGACCCTTGTTCACCACCAAATCAGTAAGGTCTCTGACAAATATCAGCTTATGGCTTCTGTAACCTGTTTACTGTAAGGATATGAGATGGCTTATGCCAATTTTGTTTTCATTATGATTGTTACATAACTTACCATTTTCTGTAGCTCAACTGTACTTATTCGGCCTGCTTCTTTCTTCATTTGATCTACACATTTCTGGGCCAAGTTTAAATATGCTTGCAGATGACTTCGCATCATGGCCAACCGCAAAGCACATAACAGGATTATTAACCAGAGTCGCAGAGTATCGAATGTGGCTTCTGTCATTCTATAGATCAAAAAGTTGATATGGTGCTCTCAGGGACTGCAATATACTAGCACAGCAGTTCACAATGTAGAATACAGAAAAATCTGTACTTCCCCAGTCAACTGGTAGACCCGAAAAAAAAGAGTTCCATTCTGCCAATAACTTATCTAATGGCTTCTTCATATGTGCAAATTAAGTAAGAAGATAAATGTATAATGAAAGCACAAGTCACAACAGAGTCCCCCTTATATCTACTGATGTCTATGGAAGAAATGTAAGCTATAACCCAGGTAGTGAGTCTCAATGCTTAAGAGATGAGAGAGTCCCCAAGGGGACCATAGGTCATCAAGGTGGAACTAATCAAGTCAATGACTCATCTGTAATTTGCTATAAGTTTTGCCTGTTTATATACTTATTTGGTTGAGGAGATTTCAGTCTATTCAGTTTCCAATTAGGACCACTGAAAACTAAAAAAATTCTTCACATATTACAAAGATATTAGATACCTCAGATTTCTCTAAAAGCCACTTAATTAGCCTATTATGTTCTAAGCAATGCCTCAAACTGAGTTTACGATTTTAGCACATCTTTTAGCTCAAGATTAGAGAAGACTGGGGGAAGCAGAGACAGGTACATGCCTGAAGCTCACTGGCAAGACAGTCCAACCAAATCAATCAGCTTCAATGACTCCCTGTCCCAGAAAACTTCTAGCAGATTGTTATCTTGGAAAGACACCTGCTGTTGACACTGGCATTCCATACGCATGCAGACACACATGTACCCACTCCCCAGCACATATACACGCACACATTCTCACCTCCATATACAACCTTTCCCTTTTGTGTGTTTCTATCCATTCTACCATCTAGTTCAGGAAGCATTTTCTTAGTTCCAGCTCCTATTTGGGTCATCAGTGTGAGCGCATCAACAGTCATGCTACATACCTTGGGATTCATGTTGCAGATTAGAGTAGTAGCCAGCTCTGTTCAGCTACTACCTGAAATTACTCATAGGTAGTCCCTTTCAAGCAGAAATCACAGTTCTTACAAAACAATAAAACCTTTAAACCTTGAAGGACATTAGAAAGTCTGTCTTCAACACCAAAATTTCCTAGTAGTCTAATTTTTGGAAGGATGTCCTAAGAGTATGGTTTTCAGACCTGGCTTTTTATGTGGGTTCCAGGGACCTGAACTCAGGTCTTGTGCTTACACAGCTATCAACTTGACCAACTGAGCCATCTTTCCAGGCTGCAGAGATCAGAATATTATCCTATAATGATTCACAATAATTCTCCCCTAAATATGCCTTTTCTCCCAGCAGCACATGGGAAGTGAACTAGAGGCCCAGAATATGTGCTTTGGAACATCATTCTGTTGAACTGCAAGGGATAAGGAAAGGCAGGGAAGATAACAAAGTGTGATTCTATTTAACTGTCAGAAATGGGAATGAAACAAAACTTTCTAATCTATATCGTTTGTTTCCTTTTCCAAGGTTATGAATGTACACAGCTATAAAACTCCAATGTGAAGGCACTGTTGTCTAGAAAACATAAACACATAATATTTAACAATACATTTTCACTACAATAAGAGACAAATGAGGCAGTCACATAGAAGTAACTACACAGGATGTAAGCGTATCTGCAGCCTTGAAGCTTTCCAAGGGACGTCTGGAAATTTGATCCCTGGAGGGTAGAACAAGAACGGATTGGTAGCACAATGAAAACAGCTACTTCACAACCATCAAGGAGAACAAATATAAAGTTACTAGAATAAAAACGAAAATGAGTGACTAACTTTATAAGTTCAGGATTTGGTATAACAGCTATTAAGTATCTTGTAATTCATACTAATGTACTTTAGTATGAATTAGTATCTGATAATGTGATCAGATGGGGTATGTCAAGAAGAAATCTGAGCTGGGGTAAAACAATAGGTCAAGAATAGGCAGAAGCCAAGTGTGGTAGCTCACACCTTACACAGTAGTCCCTGGGAAGCCTGAGCTACACTCTGAGACTTTATCAAAAAGAGAAAAAGAAGCCCAGGTATGAGATGAGGTGTATGAGGACAGAGGCAGATGATCTCTGTGAGTTCTAAGCCAGATGGGGCTGTAGTAAGTAAGATCTTGCCTCAATCAATCAATCAATCAATCAATCAATCAATCAATCAATCAATCAATCAATCAGAGAGAATGGAAAGAAGGGATTCTCCCCAGATTCCAAGGTAATAATGGGCTTTATGATAACTACTGATTTTTCTTCTCAGGCTAAAAACACACAAAGGCTGCACATACCCACACTTTACTTTTACAGTAATGTATCAGATTATATGCATAAATTAATGTACATTTCCAAATTGCACAGCACCAAATTTCTGCTTCTGACTACAAATACCTTTCTATTCACCAACACGTTTATGTAACAAAATAGTCATCATTTCTTTTTTGACTGTTAGTCATTATTTCATCATCTATCATAAGGACATTGGAATTTAATAGAAATTTTAAACTAAATTATTACCTCACAACTATAGAAGAGTGAGATGAAACATACTTAGGGTTATAATTCTGACTATTTATAAAACAGGGCAGAAGCCAAGATGAGACATGGTTTTAGCAAGAAGACCCCAGGCTGCTGTATATAAGCAAAATGGAACAAATTTTGGCATTGCTACCATCTGGGGAAGGGACAAGTGTAGGCCAGTCTGGCCTTAATCTCCTGATCTTCCTGCCTCAGGCACCCATAACTAGGATTATTAGATATGCACTACTATGTCTGGCTCCCTCCAAAATGGCTGAACAACTATTAGCCAAACTAACTTCTGAGTCTGCTATTTAATATAGGCAATAACAACAGTTATTGGGTGGTAGTGGTGCACACCTTTAATCCAAGTACTTGGCAGGCAGAGACAGGCAGGTCCCTGTGAGTTCGAAGTCTGCCTGGTCTATAGTTCAAGTTCCAGGCCAGGATCCAAAACTACAGAGAAACCCTGTTGTGAAACTGTCCCCTCCCCCACAAAAAGAACAATAACTACAAACAATTACTATACAGAACACCAAGATAAAATGTTGAGATCATTGATACATAACATAACTGGTTTATGACAAATGCTAGTTTTTCCTAATTTTACTTGTAATCTGTCAAATTAAAAACACTGTTGAGGTCAAGTTGGTTTAGTAATATGGAGCATAAGTATTACTTCTTCAGTGGGTATTTTCCTAGTTCAAGAAGAGTAAGTAAGAAAAAAATCATCATGGTCTCACTGTTTCTATTCTTTAAGACAAACAAATATATACAGAATTTAAAAGAAATACATAATATCCAAAACACACTGTGGAGTCAATGACTAGTCAGGCTTTTCTATTTTAATTCTGATGAGATAATAGGGAAAAGAATATCGCTGAGCATACTACCAAGCACTGGTTTTCAAAGACTGCATTCCATGCATTCTTTCACTAATTCTAGCAATAATCCTGTGAAGTACATACTACTTCATTCTGCAGATAGGGAAGCAGAGGCAAAGTCCAGTTAAATAATCTGCCTCAAGTGACAGTTTCAGTGAGGGGCAAAGCTAGAGTTCAAACCTGCTGTCTGAACCTTTCAAGAACTGTAGCATAATTCCACAACACTGTATCTAACACACAAAGTGGCTATTAATGTCTTTCAGTAAACTGCTTCTATATCCTTGACAACTTATTCTGCTAAAACACAGTTAGTCGTCTAACTAGGGATATCTGAACAAGTATTAAACATAATGTTAAGATATAATTTTTAATTTTCCTAAGTATGCTGTAGACAAAACTTCTCATTTGTTAGAGATGGAAATTATAGTACTTATTGTATAAAATGTATCTAATTTATTTGAAAAATATTTTTATGCAAAAAAACAGACATGAAGCAAAAGGTTAAAACTTTCCATGGATAAGGAAATGAACAACACTTATATTTCCCTTGATATTACTTTTTCCTCCATATATTTCACAATAGAACAATAGTAAAAGCACTATACTATACACAGCTCTAATGAGCTGCAAAATAAGAAAAATTTAAGATGACAATTGGTGTGTACAGGCTAATATTAAAGTAGTTATCATGAACATTCATTTAAAAAAAGATCAAAAATGGGTTACAAGATGGTGTGCAGCTTTAACTTCAAAAATTTTTCAGCACTTTCATTATTATTAAGAAATAAAGTACGCCATGCTGGACAAAGGTGGCACATGCCTTTAATCCCAGCACTTGGGAGGCAGAGGCAGGTGGATCTTTTTGAGTTCGAGGCCAGCCTGGTCTACAAAGTGATTTTTCAGGACAGGCAGGACTACCCAGAGAAACCCTATCTCAAAAAACGAAAAACTAAACATATAAACAAAATGCCTCAATTTATCAAACAAAACAAAACAAACAAACAAAAACCAAAAAAGCAAAACACTGAAACAAATACTTAGATATAAACAAGGCATGGTAGTCAGGAAACAGAGGCAAGCAGATCTCTGTGTGAGTTCAAGACCAGTCTACATAGTGATGAGTTCTAGGACAGCCAGGGCTATACATTCAGACCTTGTCTCAAAATAGCAAACAAACAACAAACCTACCTAAAATATAGTTAAGCGGCATTTAGGAAAGCAGCTTTGATTTATAATGAAACACAACTCAGCGCTCAAGTCTCCATACTTACAAAGGGACACTTTCTTTCCCCAGTGGTGGGTTCATGATGTAGTCTTTGGTGATTGGCTTTACCCAGAGCAGAACCATAAATAAAGGTGCTAAGAAGTTGATATGAAGTAATGTTCTAAAAGAATGCAAAAAATAAACATAAAGATCCAGAAACAAAATGTGCTAGTAAAGTGTAACTTTCATATTATTACATTTTTAGTCATTCACTGTTAATCGGAGTCCTTAAGAGATGAGGTTGTATCTTAGTTTTTCAGATGAGAACATGTAGATGTAGAAAGTTAAAAAAAATGGCTAGAAGGATATCTTAAGACTAAAATTGAGGTTTGTTCACTTCTACTGTAGACGCATTTGGCAATCCCTTATTAAATCCTTAATTCAACAAACAGGTATTTTAATGATTCTCTAACTTCCTATACTCAGTAATTCCTATGGTAGATACACAAGTTATCTGATAATTTTCAGCAGAACTGAGCAAAATGCTTGCTCATTACTCATAAATAAATGACAATGATTATCAAAGTCATGATACCAGAAGGCATATGGCAAATGAAACACAACTTATAACTGAGGAAGCATGCAATACGAAATGATCATTTACAATGTTAAAATTACATCAAAATCATATGTGACTCAAAATCTGTATTTCTTCTTGGACTGTTACACACACAGCTGAAATTAATTTCTCTATTATATTGAAATAAAGATGATCTTTTTTTCTTGTTTTTAATTCTGTGGAATAGCTCTTGTTACCTAGCCTAGCGTGGCCTCCACTCCACGATACTCTCAGGCTCACAAGGACTGCAATAACAGACAAGAGCCATCACAGTCAGTCTTGCTTTACTCACAATAATGCTACACTCCTAATTCAGCAGCAAAGGCGATTTCTGGATGCAGCTAGAACCTCCTTGTTAACTAGTATCTAAATCTGTATCCTACAGACACACATGGCTGCTAAAAAGTCTGTTTTAGGGAGAAAAAGGCAAACTTTGACAGACTGCTTTATTACAACATACTGTTTTCAGTATCAAGAAATGATAGTTTAATTTCATTATTAATTAATTTCACAATCAACAAATACAATTAAGCACCAGTCAGGGTTTAACCACAGGCTTAAGCACACACAGTTTAACACATTATCATATAGAGGACACAGGGCTGAGTCAGGCAGTGAGGTGGCAAGGAAAGGCAGTTAGGATCCCTATTACTGTACAAGTCCCAGTGCCTTGCCACAGAAGCAGACAATGCTACTCCCTTAACCACTCAAGTTACCCACAACAGAACTAGCTGGCCCCAACTACTAGAACGAAGCAGAGCGCTGTACTATAGCATGAGGGTGTAGTAACCTGGAAATAAAACAAAGTCCCAAATCCCTGAAGGGAAAACACTTAAGCAACAGCCACATTTTACTGACGATAGATGTACCACCCCTGTCTCCAACCATCACTAAACGCTTTATGTTTTATAAAGTGGTTCTTTCATCCCACAGCCTTAGTAAACCATAGAGGGCAGGGAAGAAAGAGCAGTATTAGGTATGCAGTGTTGCTAGGGAACACTCCAGTATCAAGGAGCAGCCCACAGCGGTTTCAGTAGCTTGAGAAGGGCTCCCCTCCACCCATCCTTTTCAGCTTATTTAAATCATAACACTGGGGTTAGTGGACTGCAGTCTGTGTATGGGGGGGGGGCAGGTTTTGTCTTACAAGAAGCCTTTAGCGAGATGGGTGGTGGGAAAAAAGCAGGACATAGTAAAAAGCATGCTGAGAAAAAAAAAAGGAGATGAAGTAGTGTGTAATGGGGGTGGGGGACTAAGACAAGTAAACACACACTAAACATGTAGAAAAATGGAGTCAAGGATAAAGGGAAAATTAAAGAACAGAGGTGAAAAATAAGAATGCAAGGGCAGGAGAATCAGCATGATTAAATAGAGTTCGAAAGAACAGTAAGTGTAGAAACTATGACTACTGGAGAAGCTTAATGACTGCACATATGGATATAAAATGGAGTGTTTCAAGGGCTTGCACTGCAGGTAAGGTAAGAACCTGGATCTAAATAAAAGTATACACAAGCCCGCCTTTCTGTTCATAAACAAACACCCCCCTAAAACAAAACTAAAAAACAAACCCCAAAATAATTACAAAGAAAACAGCAAAGGGCTTGGAACCATAGGCAGAAGTGTTTTCTCCACTTCAGAATCAAAATAGAATTTGGTGGTTGAAACTAATTTCCTGTATTAATTTGCAATCTCAAAAAAAAAAAAAAATACTGAGTTAGTGTGACACACAGATCAACAACTTAATGAAAACATTTCTTACAAATATAACTCTTATGTTTAAAAATATTTAATATCTTAATTAAAAATAAAATATTTGAACAAACATAAAAAATTTAAAGTATTTAAAAATAAAACCTAAAAAGAAAATTTCCACAGATTTTCAGTTCCAATAGACTGAAATATCATAAATCTCAGATTAAAAGGAATTAATATAAAAATTGGTACTCTCAAGTAGAAACACATTTAACAACAAATGTATTTTTAAGACAGGCTTAAAATTTCAAAGAGAAACTTATAGCTGAGAGGAAGTGGTGTGATAAGTATTTATATTAATTTTAATAACTTATTATTTTATCACAATAATATACCTTAATTAAGATGGAAAACATATATTTATCTGCATGTGCTTATGTACATTTTCCGCTTACTGTGTAATTTTTTCTGTTGCCAAATTCAGGGCATCCAGATGCATTTGAGCCAGCCGTAATCCAGGAAATGTCAAAAAAGCCCCAATGAGTGAACAGAAAATAGCCAGGAAAAATTTGAAAGTAAGTTTTGAAACAGGACCCCTAAAAATAAAGTTTTAAAAAAAGCTGTTTTTAGTTAACTTACCAAGAAGCCATCTTCCCCCATTCAGTTAATTTACAAATCACAATAATATCAGTACATCAAAGAACATATCTACAAAAATATTGAACTTATTCATAATAGATCTTGGTGAATAACAAGCTAAAGCAGGTATTTCTTAAAAGACAAATCCAGGCTGCATATTGAAATGACACACGGCTTGGATATAAGCTGCTTTCATCTTTGGAAACAGTGGGATTATTAGAGCAAATACAGCTAAGAACTTAATGGGAGTTCTAACTTCACAACTGTAAGAAGTTTTCCTAGAAGTGATGACACTGGGCTGGAGATGCAGGCTCAGGGAAGCCCTGACTTGTATGCATGCATTAGTCCCTGGGCTTGATTCCAAAGCTGCAATGAGGGAGGGAGAGAAGTGACTATTACTAGGAATTATTTTACTGATGAAAATCAACTTAATTATAATATATATATTTTCTATAGCAAAACTGCTTTAAGAATGGAAAATGGAAAATTTAAGTAATGCTCAACTTTTCAAACACTTACTGAGATTCTAAACCCTGCTTTTCAAGAAACTGCATCGCACTGTCTGAAAAATTTGTAAACCCTGTAGGAAAAAAGAGATTATTCTTTTGAGGGTAAATACAGACCTCCTACAACAGAGCATCTTGTAGGTTAGTGATTAGCTGTGTGTGTGTGTGTGTGTGTGTGTGTGTGTGTGAGTGTGTGTGTGTGTGTATGTGAGAGAGAGAGAAAGAGAACTACTATGTTATCATGCAATAAAACCAGCTATTAGCAAGAACAGTCTCTTAAATGTCCCTTTGATACTTGTATATTCCATGAGTGCATAAAAGTTGAATTAATTCTTTAGCATTACATACATAAATTAATTTAACTTTAAGAAAAAACTGAGGTTGAAGTATTTCGGGGAAAGGATAATAAAAACCTTGGCTAAAACAGCAATAATAATGATCTCATTGAAGATTAATAAAGGTTACCTAGAACATAAAACAACCTCAATTTTAAGTATTTATTAGACATAAAACTAAGTTAAATACTGAAATCAAAATTATACCAGACGAATAAAACTGATTTTTAAGGTTGGGCAAAACTATTACCTGTTTCAAGTCCAAACTCCAGGTAATTCTCCGTTACAATCAAAACTGCCATTGCTTTAACGAAGAAAAAAAATCCAAAGGTGACACAAACTGACCTTTCACCACCGTCTTCTACTTTAAAATAGTGTGTAGTTAATGAAAATAGAACTTTGCTGCAGAAGGAAAAGTTCAGGAAAAACCACAAAGATCTTGTGGGAGCTACTCATAACATCTTTACATGATGCAAATGAAAAGAAGTAAACATTATCCACTTCCGTTCTATCGATTTGTCTGTCAGGTGTACTTTGGAAGTAATGAAAACCTTAACGGAAATAGGGCAGAAATAAAGGAAATCTAATATGAGTTTATAGTTTTATACTACGGAAAAGTAAACTAGAATTAAGTTGCAATTATAGAATGTATTTCCTATATATATGACCCAAATTAAATGTGGGTACTACAGAATTTTATGCTAATAGGTTTATGACAATAGTAGGATGAAAAGAAGGAGCAGAGATTTTAGGCAGTTAATTTTTATATTGGGGATCTTTACCAAACATTTATATTTATTGCTTACATTTATAATTAAACACATATAATAACACAGGATTCATTTGTAACCATTTAACAACCCAAAATTTGAAAATTACTAATAGTTGTAGGTAGCCTGTTATATGAAAAGTGTTAAGGGCCATCATTCATGAGGGTTAAACAAAGACAAGTTCCACTTGAGAATACCAAACCAAAGTTTCAATGTGCTCACCTTGAAAATCAAACTAAGAGATCATGTTACCTGAGCCCCATATAACACACTCACTCATTTCATTAGGATCAAATCAAATATAAACCCAAACCTAGAACTCAGACCTTATGTATACAATTCATGCTTCTTGAAAGGATAAACCAAACACATCAAATAGTGCAGCAAGTAAACAAATCTACACACAAGCAACTTTGATGGGAATGTTATGTTATACACTAGAAATAGTGAGCAGTCACTTAGTGTGAGCCATGAACAAAACAAGACACATTTAAAAAAGCCCATGCTGGGGGTTAAGTAAAGACCTGAAAGTTATGCAGATTAGAGGTGACTGAGATTTGAACCTAGGCAGTCATAATCCAGAGCCTGGGCCTCCTTATCTGCCTCCTTAAATTATACAAAGCACCTAATAAGTTATATGTGGCAGCTAAAAGATAAAAGATGGAATCTTTAGCTAAGCATTCTTGTACGTTTTAAAGGTAGCAAGCTCTATGCTAAAGTTGAAGCTAATTTTGTTTTGCATTTTATTCTAATTAATGCATCAATTAAGAATAAATGGTGTTAGGGTTCCAACATAGGGTCTTCTGCTTTCTAGGCATGTGCTGAGCCACAGAGACATATGCACATCCTGCTACATTAGTTTTATAGCACAGAATAAATCTTCAAGTCTTCTGAGTCTGGAAAGTTGACAATCTCTTCAAAGTACAGAAAGACTTTAAAGAGCAATACTGACACACGTATTTTGCAGAGCAGTACTTTATGGTGCTTCTCCTTCATTCCTCCTAAAATCCCTACTATGACTGTATAAATCTTAACTGAGCACAGTAGTCAATCTTTTCCTACTTTGACTATCTACTCAATAATTTATAAGCAGCGAAGAGTATACTGTTGGCATTCCCAACTTTGGCATGATTTTGTACTATCAATATTAACCAAATTATCATATTTCAATTAAAATGGTTCATAGGTAGAAGCAGATTTCCATGTTATTTTAAGAAAGATGATTTTTTTAGCTTCTCTTCCACAAAACCAATGTATATAACCAGATATTATTAATTTCAACTTTTGTGCATAAGATTTTACCAATTATGCTCTTACAGCTATAGAAAAGACTCTTCAATATCAAGATTTTTGATAAAGCCTCAGGGAACCATACTATTTTATATTTACCTTAAAGTATATATACATATATAGATATAGATACATGTCTCTTTCTCTCTATATATATACATATACATATGCGCGCACACACACATATATACATATATATACATATACATATATATGTATATATATATATATATATATATATAAGCTGATAGTGTTCCCTACAAGAAGCAGAGACTAACAGTACCAGGGATGAGAAACACATTTTGAGTTGTTGGTCAGGGCTGTCTAAGTGACTCATAAATCAATACAGACTATTGCTGTTCCTATTGCTTTTGGTTGTGTCTCAGAGGTTGAAGGAAAGATATTGCACACTTAAGACATAGGACTTGGATAACTGAGCAGCTAATACGAAGGCCTCCTTTTTTTCAGTCTAGCTTCCACAGCATGTAATACCAGAAAGTACTAAGCAAAGTGACAAGGGAGAAAAGCATCCAATATTCTGATCTAGCTGTGATGCTTATGAAGCACAGCGACAAGGCAAGATAGCCTAAAGTGCAATAATGACATTTGTATTTTGGTAGTAACTAACTGCTATCTGATTGGACTTAAGGTTTACTCAACAGCAGGGAAATCATGTCTGGTACTAGAAATCTAGCCAACTACCTGGGGCTGGAGAAATCATAGATCTTAGAAGAGAATCCACTACCTTCTACTTTTTTAGACAAGCGACTACATTCTAATACTTACGCTTATAACTACAAATAAACACAGCTCTCACCCATCATGAAAGAAGCTTCTCTTTACAGCAAATAGAGATCATCACAGAAAACCAACAGGACACAATGTGGAGATCATGAGACTCTGGGAAACTCAGCCCCAGTTGATACATCTACAGTACATCTCTTGTAACTTAAGGTTCAGAGACCATTGTAGACTAAGGGGAGAGGACCAGAACCTCTGCTGTGTCCCTACAAATGGCTGTCTGTAGAACATCTGAACAATGACAACGCTAATATGGAAGGGGAAAAAAATTTCATGGGGTCCAACTCCTAGACAAAGAACTACAGACAATGAATGACGACTGAGAAAGGGAGAATCAGCCTCTCCAAAGCATGAGCACTCTGATTATCTAATACAAAGTGGTTAGCCCTGAAATCATACAAAGAACAGAAACAGACACAGAAGGCTATATTTATGTATTTCTGCATCTTTCTCTCTACACACACATATACTCACCAATAATAACCAAAGGAAAATAGGCTATTAATTTGAGAGGGAATGGGATAGGACTTGGATTGGGTTGAAGGAATGAAAAGGGAGAGTGATGTAATTACATATTAAGAGACCATGTCTCTGACAAGAACAAAGAGTCTCCAATCAATTTTAGCAATACAAGGATAGTTCAACATTTGCAGATAAATGTAATTCATCATGTAGCTAAGGTAAAAACATAGAAATTAGAATCACCTCTATAGAAAACTTTTGCCAAAATCCAGCATCACTTCATGATAAAGTCATGAAATAGCTATTGATAGTGGGAGCATACATCAGCATAACAAAAGCTATATACAACTAACCTATTGCTACCATCATATGAAATGCAGAAAAACTTAAACTCATTCATCCTAAGATCCGGAATAAGATAAGGATGTCTTTCCACTTTTATATAATACAGTTTGAAGTCTTAGCAAGACAAAACAAAAGAAGGAACTAAAAGGGATACAAATAATCCTTTTTGCAGAAGATATAAGAGACTCTAAAAACTCAGCCAAAAATATTTTCAGATAAATACTTTCAGTAAAATGGGAAGATACAAAACCCATAAGAACGAGTAGCCCTCTTATATACCAACAAAAAACACATTGAGAAAAGAAAATCTCATTTACAATAAACATAAAAAATAAAATTAAAATGCCTCTGAATAAACCAAACCAAAGAAATATAAAAATTCATCAATGAAAACTTCACAACAAAAAAGAAAGAAATTAAGGAAGATACTGGAAGACTGAAAGAGTTTCCATGTTCACGGTCTGGAATAATCTTGTGAAACAGCCATTTACCAGTTCTCTGGGCTGAAGAGATGGCTTAGTAATTGAGTGCTTAATGCTCTTGCAGAAGACCCCAGCACCCAAACCAAGTGGGTCAACACCACTTATACCCCAGCTCCCAGGGATCAGCTACATCCTTCTGAACCTGTATCTTCATGGCACACATTCAGAGACAGATATACAGTTAAATAAGGAAAAAGTCTCATGTCAAGAAAACATGGCTTTTGTTATAATATACCGAAATCAAACAAGTATATTTACACTTTTTTTTTTTTAATGGAAGAAGCAGCATACTGTGATTGTGATTATCAAATACTTAATTCTGGCATGTGTAGCAATACCTAATAGTGACAGCTAAATTCATTCAAATGTAAGAAAAAAAGGAGACTACATTCTAAGAAGAAATATTAGTTAACATGCAAATATGATTAATATTTTAATGAATGAGCATAAAATATTCTCTATCATTTTCAACAAATTTGAGATTATTTTTAAAAACATGATCATGTTTCTACTTAAGTGATTTTCATATAAACTGAAATTTGTTTAACTATGGAGAGATTATATAATTGTTTGTGACTATTATAAAAAAATGCAGTTTTTTTTTTACTCAAATGTTTAGGCTATGCACATTTATTTTTATTGGTGGAAAGGCAACTAAAATACTTGAAACTCATTATACTTTTCATTTTACACTATAAAACAAATAGAAAAAACTCTAGAAACAATATTAAAATTCTATTACATATTTTCATTTAAAGCTAATAATAAGCACATTCATCCTTATGACTTAATAAAACCCTTTTCAAGACAATTGTTCCAATGATACAAAAGTTTGTTAACATTACCTTAAAATTTACTTATAATTTTATTTGTGCAGGCTTAATTATTACTTAAAAAAACACATAATTCTTCCAGATGTAAAATTATCATGTATATATATGTGTGTGTATATATGTGTGTGTGTATGTGTGTGTGTGTGTATATATATATATATATATGTATATTCATTTATTTTTTATTTTACATATCGATCGCAGTTCCCTGTTCCTCCCTCTCTCCCTTCCATCCTATTCCCCACCCACTCCACAGGGAGGATGATGCCTTCCAGGAAGGATCATCAAAATCTGTTAAGTCATTTGGAGTAGGGTCTAGGTCCTCCCTCCTATCTCTAGGCTAAGGGAGTATCCCTCCATGGGAATGTGCTCTCAAAGTCCTTTTGTGCACCAGGGATACATCCTGGTTCCACTGTCAGAGGTCCCTTAGACTGCCCAGGCCATCTAGCTGAGACCCGTGTTCAGGGGGTCTGAGTCAGTCCAATGTTGGTTTCCTAGCTATCAGTCTGGGGGTCCATGAGCTCCCCCTTGTTTAGGTCAGCTGTCTCTGTGGGTTTCTGTACCTGGTCTTGACCTTTTCTTATCATTCCTCCCTCTCTGCAACTGGATTCCAGTTCAGCTGTGGGTGACTGCTTCTGCTTCCAGAAGCATATAAATTGGTTGTTAATCTCATTATCTGGGAAGGACATTTAAAATAGCCTCTCCACTGTTTGCTCATTGTTAGTTGGGGTCAACCTTGTAGGTCTCTGGACATTTCTCTAGCATCAGTTTTCTCTTCAAACCTATAATGGCTCCCTCTATTATGGCTTCTTTTCTTTTCTTTTTCTTTTTTTTTCCTCTATTTGTTCCCCCACTCAATCTTCCCAGTCCCACATGTTCTCCTCTCCTCCCCTTCTCTTTCTAACTCCCTCTCCACTCACTGCCCCCACCCCCACTATGCTCAGGAGATCTTGTTCCTTTCCACTTCTGTGAGAGACCTTGTATGAAACTCTTAGGCCTAGTTTCTCTAGAGGTGTGAATTATAGGCTGGTAATCCTTTGCTCTATGTCTAAAATCCATATATGAGTGAGTACATACTATGTTCCTCTTTTTGTGACTGGGTTACCTCACTCACGATGGTTTCTTCAAGTTCCATCCATTTGCCTGCATATTTAGAGATTACATTTTTTTCCCGATGAGTAGTATTCCATTGTGTAACTATACCACATCTTCTTTATCCATTCTTCAGTTGAGGGGCATCTAGGTTGCTTCCAGGTTCTTGTTATTACAAATAATGATGTTATGAGCATAGTTGAACAGATGTCCTGGTTTGCATGGATATGGATCATTTGGGTATATGTCTAAGAGTGGAACTGCCGGGTACTGTGGTAGACTGATTCCCATTTTCCTGAGGAACCGCCATACTGATCTCCAAAATGGCCATACAAGTTTGCACTCCCACCAGCAGTGGAGGAGTGTTTCCCTTTCTCCACATCCTCTCCAGCATAAGTTGTCATTGGTGTTTCTAATTTTAGCCATTCTGACAGGAGTAAGATGGTATCTCAAAGTTGTTTTAATTTGCATTTCCCTGATGGCTAAGGATGTTGAGCACTTTCTTAAGTGTCTTTCAGCCATTTTGGATTCCTCTATTGAGAATTCTCTATTCAGTGTACCCCACTTTTTAATAGGGTTATTTGGTGTTTTGGTGACTAGTTTCTATGAATGTTTTAAATTATGTCAGAAAACAAGGATTGAGTCAACCAGACTCAATCTAACAAGATTATACAAGAAAAAAAATAATTAAATATATCTGAAAGCAATAAATACGAGCTTTATTTTAAAAACAAAAATAACCAAGGTTCTCAATTAAAATAAAAGAATGTCACCCTTGAATTTTTAGTTTCAGAAAGAAAATTAGCACTTCCCAGCTAAAGGAGAAAGTCATAATAATTATAAATCAACTGACAGAAAGAAGGTCCTATAATTCCAATTCAGGTCCCCTATTTCATTCTGGAGTTCTGACCAGAAATCTTAGTGCTAGCTAAACATGTGTGTTTGTTTCGGGTAGTAATATACTAATGGCTACACCACATAAAATAACCTGCATGAGAAGCATATATTATATATTCCTACATAAGCATTAAATGTAAGTAAAGCAGAGAAAGCATTCCACAAAGTGTATCATCAATATCTTAAGACACAAAATAATGTAGTCATAAAACAAGCAGAGATTCATAATAACAAAGAGCTCATGAACATTTTAAACTAGTAGAAAAGCCTAAACAAGAAACATAATAAAACAGTGAGAAACTTAAGAATATCTCCCAGGAAACCTAAAATTATATACATAAACTACAGATGATAATTCTAGATGCTAACATAGGAGCCTATACTTCCTCCGCAAGAAGCATCCCCAAAATGTTCAAAATGAAGAGAAACTCATCAAATGATTACATAAAAAGCTTCCTAGAACTCATGAACATGTATTTCCAAAACTGGCAGCTTTACAAGAACAAGATCATGTCCTTCTTAAAGTACAGTACTTACTTTTGCTTTGTTAATCTAAGGGTAAATATAGGACTTAATAGCAAAATTTCAGAATACCCAAAACAAAGAAAACAAGTTCCAGGAGCGCTGTATTTGGGTGAGAGAAGGTACAACATGAGTTTTTCAACACTTCAGAATTCTGATGAAAAATTATTTTTGAATTTTCTACTGAGTCAAATTATCAATCAATAAAGACAGCTTAAGGCACACAAAACTTCAAAAACCACCTTTTCTAAAGATACCAAAGCAGAGTTAGTTCATCCTTGCAAAAAGAAAGTGAGCAAAGGAAGAGATCAAGGCACCTAAAAAGGGAAACAGGGAATTTCTTAACAAGACAGCAACACTGAATAATTAATGTTCCAGATAAGAGCTAATTAAAAGTTTATGAAGACAGAACTGGGGATGGTCAAGCAGAACATACTAGATACCCAGCATGAGGACCTGAGTTCTGTTTGGGAACAACATGGTAGGGAAAACTGGCTCCTGCAAGCTGTCCTCTGCTCTCTCCCCACACATGCGCACACATAAAGTAATGCACTAACACAACTGTGTAGTTTACAAAGAAACGAGGGCTCCAGAAGGATAGCTCTGTAGGAAACAAGACAGAAATGATGTACTGATCTAATGATGTACCATCGCTCTGGGAAAGCTGTTTCCATAAAATAATAAGAAATTATTCAAGAAAGGTAATAAAATGTTTTGCCACAAACAATATCTTCATAGGTAGCACTGTGAAACTGACTGAAACTTAATAAAATGCTATCTCTATTGGGGGGAATGGAAGAGGAGAAGGGAAAATTATAATAATATGTAATTTCACAATATCAAAGTTAGCACCTGGATGGAAATCTGCCCTGTATCCCAGACACAGAAGGTCCCTTAAAGAATGTCTGCTGGCCTTTCTGACTCTCCTTGGATAAAAAGGGAATGAAATGAATGACACCTTTCTCTACATTGGATTTTTTAAACTACCTAACTATGTTGAAATTTTAAGAAGTTACATAAAGAATTTCCATTCAATATGATTAAGTTATACTGTGTATGTAAGAAATTGTTGAAGAATAAATTTGACATATCTTAGGAATTCAACAAAGGAAAATTCTCTAATAACTGACAAAAATCTTTTTAAGTTAAACACAAGGCCTAATGCTCTAAGTACAAAAACAACCCAAAAACACAATGTTAATGATGGTTTGAAGGATACATTGCAAAGGATAAAACCAGGAGGCACCAGACTAGGCTGATATTCATTTCCTGTGTAGGCTTCATGAAACTATAATAGACTTCAGTTACCAAATACACAACGGTAGCAGCCACTGTGAAATCGACCAGCCACTGGTACTCTGGAAAGTAATGCAATGCTGAAAAATAAAGGGCAAGAAAAGTGTCAGTTAAATGTTAAGGTCTTGAGGGTCTATCCATATAACTCTCTAAGTATGGAGACTTTACTTGCATACTCAAACTCTAAAATTTTCAGATATAAACATGCAAGAGACAGTCAAATTTTACCAATTAACACTAAATTTTGATAGTTCATAAATTAAGTAGTGAAAACCCTGATCTGATTACTATAAATTATTTAAATTGCTGTTAAAACACGAATGCAAATCAGCTTATTTTTACAAAAATTATGTAAATCATTTTCTTTTGGTGTATCTATGTTAACCGTAGCCTCAATGGATACAACTTGGTTTAAAATACACAAGGTTTACATATCATTTCAGAGTTAAACTTTGCTCTTAACCATTGATGGAAGAGTAGTGATTTGTGAGTTACTGCACACAACAGTAAATGAACAAACACTTCTTATTCTCTCTTAGAAAAAACCCAAAACTGATACAGTGCTGATTTTACATAAAACCACAGCTTTTCAACAAATGGTTCCATCATTCAGCACTTACATTCAAAATAAAATTCTCTGGTAGTACATGTAATTCTATTGCTTTATGTATTTCATTTTATTTAAACTTTTTACAAAATATAGTGTCTTATATCCTCCAGAGTGTGATAGTTATCAATTACATACATAAGCAAACAAAGTAAAACCGATATTCTTGGCCATATATTAACCCATATAATCATGTCTTTTATTTCTATTTAATATAACCATATACATCTCTTCAATAGAAAACTGGGAGTGAAAAGAAGCTCACAGAGGGCAGAGAGCTCAGTTGTAAAGTGCTTGTTTATATGAGACATTTGGAAGGAGTACCACACAAAAAGGAAAAGAGGCTCAGAAAAACCCATCTGCATAGACGTACACACACACACACTCACTCGCAAAAATACAGAAACAACAAACAACATACACTGTCACTGCTGCTGTGCTTAACAAGAATGTTCTTGATATTAAATAACTAGTTGTTAAACTTATACCATTTGCAAGTACTTTTCAAAACTGTATGTAAAATCATAAGTTAAACTCCATGCCACATCACCTAAGTGCATTAAAATAACAAAATTCTCAATGGTTCTGTAACACACAAAATAGAACTGCCCTGTTATTTAATTTTATATAAACGAGTTTTAAAAAAGAGGCTTGGTACTGATACCTACCCCAAGACCTCTGAGTATAATATTAACACAGTGTTTGGCTAAGTAGCTGGTAATTTTTCAATAATTTGCTGATAAAAGACTACAAAAATATATAGAAATCAGTATTTTTACACAACTAAACACATATACAGAACTCATAAAAACAAATGTGATAACTGCTGATCAAAATAACCAGGGGTTTTGAAGATAAAAGTAAAAGAAAAAGGATGGCTGACAGTCTTAAATGTTTAAGGGAGCTTATAGGATTGACCAACAGAGCTCTTCACTGGTACTGAGGGATATAGGTTTCCTATAGGTACCTAGAAATTTTATATAACTTACTCAATCCTCAACTGATAATGATTCTGATGTTACTTTATATCATAAGATAATTTTATATAAGATGCTAGATAAACCTGCTATGGTTTTGTTGAAGATAGTATGACTTAGTTCTAGGAAAAATCAAATTACAAAATAATACTTTGTGTATTATTTGCAGTATTGTTTAATCTAATGTTACCATTTTAATATACAGAAAAATAGATCTCAAACCAAAACTAATCATAAGAGATAGGGAATGACCCTACAAACTTATCAAAGGAAAATCTACCAAGAGGACACTGAAATTCTTAATAACTATGCACGGAATCCAAGTTCATAAAGGAACTACAATTAAAATTACATTCTCACCCTCAAACAGTGATAATGGTTGTCTTCAATACCCAATTCTCACCAGTAGATAGGTCATTCAGACAACAACTAAACAGAGAAATACTGGAGCTAACTGATGTTATAAACCAAGTGGACCTAACATACATTTTCAGAACATTTCACCCAAACACACCTCATGGAACTCAAAGACTTTCCAGTAAAATCAAGAAAAAGACAAAGGTGTCTACTCTCTTCATGCTTATTCAACATATAGTACTTGAAGTCCTATCTAGAGCAGTAAGACAACTATAGACCATCAATGGTAACAGAAAAGGAAGAAGTCAAAGTTGGCAGATGATATGATTTTATACATAAATGACCCTAAAAACTCCACCAGGAAACTTCTATAACTGATGAACACTTTAAGGATACATAACAAACAGAAATTAGTATACAAATCACAAACTGAGAGAAAAATCAAGAAAACAACAGCCTTTTACAATAGCCTCAAGAAAAAAACAGAATAAAAACATTTAGGATAACTCTACCAAGTAAGTGAAATACTTGTATAATAAAAATTTTAAAATAGCAAAAAAAGAAATTGAAGAAGAAAAGCTATCCCAGGCTCACTGACTGGCAGGGATAGAGTGAAAATGGACAAAATTAATCTATGGATTCAATGCAATGTCCATCAAAATTCCAATGCAATTCTTCACAGAAATTGAAAGGGAAAATTTAGTTTCATATGAAAACTAAAGGAACTGCTGGAAGTATCACCATATTCTGTATGTCAATGTGTATTACAGAACTAAAGTAACAAAACCATCATGGTATTGTTATAAAATAGACATATTGATCAATGGAACCAAACTGAAGACCCACACCACGTAAGTCCCTACACCTATGGACACCTGATTTTTCACACAGAAGCCAGTAATATACAATGTTAAAGAACACAGCATCTTCAATAAATGATGTTGGTCAAATTGGATAGAAACATATAGAAGAATGAAAACAGATCCCTATTTATTACCCTTCACAAAAACATAACTTTAAATGGATCAAGGTCTTCAATATAAGGCTAGGTAGACTGAATCTTATAGGGAAAAAAAAAAAAAAAAAAAAAAAAAGTGGAGAATAGTCTTGAACTCCTTCGCAAAGGAAAAGTCTTTCTGAACAGAAAAATGATAGTACATATACAAAAAAACAATTAATAAATGGGACTTCATGAAACTGAAAAGATTCTGTATGCCAAAGGACACCATTACTCAGACAAAATGGCAGAATACAAAAAGGGAAAAGACTTTTACTAACTGTACATCCAATAGAGGGTTATTATACAAATTATATAAAGAAAAACAATGGAAACCAAGAAACAAATAGCTCAATTTGAAAATGTAGTAGAGATTTAAACAGAGAATCCTCAAAAGAGGAACCACAAAGAAATCTTCAACATTCTAAATCATCAGGGAAATAAAAATTAAAATTACTTGGAGATTTCATCTTATACCAGTTAAGAATGTCCAAGTAATAGCTCATGCTGTCAAAATGTAGGGTAAGGGGAACACCAGTCATAGCTGTTGGAAGTGCAAACTTGCACACTCACTACTAAAATAAGTCTTGCATTTACTTAGGTAGTTGAGTATCAGTCTACCTTAAGATCCAGTTATATCACTCTTAAACATATACCCAAAGGATTCTACATCTCACTATAGAGATACTTGCTCAACTATATTCAATGCTATTCTATTGGCAATAATCAGAAATAGGAAACAACCTTGATGCCTAACAACTGATGGATAATTTCACAATGAAATATTATCCAGCTATTAAAGAAAAACAACCTGAAATTATGAAATTTGCAGGTAACAGGCAGAGCTAGGAAAACTCATCTAGAGGGAGGTAATTCAGACCCAGAAAGACAAATATGGTATATAATTGTTTATATGTTGATGTTAGCTTTGAAGCCTTCAATCAGCATGCTACAATCCATATAACCACAGAGATTAGGTACAGGAAAAGGGACTAGCAGGGTGGGGAGTACCTCCCAAGGAAGCCAACATGAAATACACAGTTATGAAGAGACAGGGGAGAAGATGGAATAGAGGAGTAAGGGGGATATTGGGAGGGACACCAAACACTAAGGGACAATTGAGGCTTCATAGGAATGCCTGCAACTATAGAAGCTTCCTAACAAAGCATACATGCATGAACGAAATATAACTGGTGTCACCAATAACAATGCCCCAAGTCATCTTTTGCCACGAAGTGAAAACTTCAGGGCCAGGAATGGGCTAGATCTAGATGTCTTGTTGGTCAAAAGGGCCCATGAAAACCCCTAAACATTTCAGGCTATTGGCTGCTCTCTATAAAGTCCCTCCCTACAGGGTTCAGGAAGCTTTGTGGTAGAGGAGGAGGAAAGACTGTAAGTGTCAGATGTGATGGATAACTTCAAAGAAATAGTGCCATCCAGACGCACAAGAATGCCACGGATACACACAGGAGCTCACAAAGATTATGGCAACATGTAAAAGACCTGGAAAGGTTTAAATCAGATGGGGTCCCAATGTTGAAAAAGGGTAGTGGAAGCAGGGATCTGTTCCTAATAGAAAAGCTATCTCCAATGGATATTGGCTTGCAAAGGAAAAATTAGTCTTCACCAATTGAGTCTCATTGGGTATATTAACCACACTTAAGGATAAGCCTCCTGCCAAGCAACAGATGGCTAACACAAAACAAATTCAATGGTATTATTGTCAATTTTTTGTCTCAGAATATTTGGGAATTTTTGTCTTAATTATCTTTTGCTTGTATACTATGATTTCTGATTTTGCATTTTTGTGGTTTTTAGTGATGGAGTGTGTGTGTGTTTCTTGTAACTTTTCTTTTTTTAATTCTGGTTTGTTTTTTGCTGTTGTTTTGTTTTATTTTATTTTCTAAAGAAGGGGTGAGCGTGGGGTTGAGAGGGTGGAGAAATGGGAGGACCTAGAGAGTTTAGAGGAGGGGAAACTCTGACTAGAATATGAAATATGGCATTTCTTTAAATAAAAAGTATTGATTAATATGTTATTTCCTCACTTTTCGTGTAATCCAGTGGTTCTCACATCTGATTATAAATTAAAATTACTTGTTGCAACTTTTGAAGTTAAATTCCCAGAACCTATGCTAAGTTTTTTAAAGAGTAAGGAATCTTTATTTTTAAAGATCTCTTCAAGTAATATGAATGTATAAGGTCTGAAAACTAGGAGCACCATCAAATGTCTTTCCCCTTTAGGATTCAATTAGCTTCATATAAAATTCTTTGTAAACTTAAAATCATTATAGTCTTATTATTATAGAAACTGAGAAGGAGAAGTACATTATTTATTCTGATGTATTCAATGGATAAAGACGATCTGTGAATAATTTTTTCAACTTATTAATACCTAATACTACTAGAATAGTTGAATTATTAAAATTTAGATACCTCAATATGCAAAATATAGTTTAAAGTGCATTTTAAGGTATATTGTAGGAAATAAGTTTTGGAAGCTATGATCACAACACCAACTGTACTCTAATAATCAGAAGTTGTAAAAAGGCTGCTTTCCCAAACTGGGGAAAATAATATCATGTAAAGAGAAAAGAAAAATGTCATTTAAGTAAAGTCACTTGGAACTGTTAAGTTCATTTGGAGAAAAGCATGTGTTAGACTCCATGCTCTGTAGAATGAATTCATGACTAGGAAAACACACAGATTTATCCCATAAACAAACAAAAGCATAGCCATAATAAGCAAAGGGCGCTTGCTGCCATAGATTGGTGTAAGCAGAACACTTACAGGACTCCCTTACCTAGAGTATCCACTTCTGTAACAGACTTGGTTTCTAGATGAAGGTCAATATCTTTTGGAATGGTTAGTGGTTTATTTTCAATGTGACCATTGTATTTTCTGCAAAAATTAGATGAGTAACACAAAAAACAAATTACTTAGTTATCCAAGTGTTTATATCCTACTAAATGCAAAAGAGATTTTAAGTTTCAGTCTAATCTCCTAAAGGAGATCATATACTCAAAAAGCAGTTTTTCAAAGGAGACTACAAAATGCTGAAGTACTGTGTAATGGACCAGAGGAAGACTTACCTAAACTAGAAAGAGTAACAAAATCTTGCCTGCTAGTATAGTGTTTTACACCCATTTTTTCCTACTCTCTATTGAGATTTAAAAGCAATCTATTATCTTTTTCATAGGCACAAGATGAAAAGAAAATAAAATTCTCTTTGAAATGATAAACTCACACACACACACAAACACAGGTGTAATTATATGTAGGTCAGAGATGAATGAGTATATTAAAATTAATGTTTGTAAGAAATTCAGAGACATAAAAAGCAAATGTTGAAGGTGCCTACAAAGACTTATAGGAGACCAGCAATGATCTTTAAGTGTACCTGTGTCAATTCTAAGTTTAAGTTTTAAGGATAGTCACCTGAATAAGTAAAAAGCCCAGTTTTAAAAGATTATTTTCAACATTATATCCACTCTTGAATAGTAAAAATGCAGGAATCTCAGTGACAACTTCATGTAAGTAAATCACGCCATGATTACTGCTGTTAGTAAGAAGAGAACACTACCACTGCATCTTTCTGCAATTACAACCCTGAAACATTCCTGTAAGGGCTAGGCATGTGCAGCACAGCTGAAGACTGCCTGCCTGCCTGCCTGCCTTCCATGAAACCTTGAGTTTGATCCTAGGATGCCATTATGAGGAGTGGTGATACATGGCTGCTATGGGGAACTGGAAGCAAGAGGATAAAAAAATTCAAGGTCTTCCTCTGCTACCAGCCTGGGCTACATAAAACCCACTCTAAAAGAAGGAAAACAACAGATTATAAGGCATGAAAAAAATCCAAATATTTACAAAATGAATAGTATACTGCACAACTGTTTAACAAGGTGACAATGGCCATCAAAAGAGTTTTAGTGGTTGAAAACAAAAACGTAACTAAAATTAACCTGGATTAAAATTCTGGTCCTTTTATAAAAACTTGGGAAATTCATTTGATACTTTTTAAATTATTTTTTATTGTGTTTTTGCCAGAATCTCTGTTCCACATGCATGCAGTGCTCTTGGAGGCCAGAAGAGGGCATCATACCCAATTAACTTGTAGTTACAGATAGTTTGTGATTTGTCATGTGGGTGCCAGGGATCGAACCCTGGACCTCTGGAAGAACAGCCAGCCAGTATCCTTCATCATTAAGCCATCACTTCATCTCTCATTCAACACTTGTATTTATATACAGTTTTCACTTACTGAGATTCATGGGTTCTGGTGTTAAATTAACAATATTAACCACTTAAGAATAGTTAATCTTTGAGTAAAAACAATTACTGATTTTTTTTGCTTATATTCAAATTGCTATTTTACTGCAATTTGCATGGGTTCTGACTTGAAATCCCTTTAATCAAAGCATAAACTATATCTGCATAAATGACATTAAATATCAAATGTTAGAAGCTCATCAAGGTAACTCACCTGTCCTTTTTGTTCTTTCCTTTCTGCTGCTTCCCTGCAAGGATTCTTAATTCTTCTTCTGAAGGATGCTGATACCACCTCAAACTAAGGGAGGAAAAAAAAAAAAAAAAGCCCTTTAAGTAAATCACTTAAACTTAACCAGATTATTTATTTAGTCTACAAATATTTACTGAGTTTCCAATTTGTGAAGGCACTGTAAGGAAATAATCATGTGACAACTGCAATGCAAACAGACATTGATGCTTAAGCCTTACAAAGCTTATTAGATTCATACCCAGCCAACACTTAGATGCACTTACTAGATGCCAGGCCCTCCTATGCTGTATGGATTTCTAACATCCTACTTACTGTTCCATAAATTAAAGTTACATGAACTCTGTAGGTGATTGGGCTCAATAATTCCCTACCATCCTTCATTTAAATAAAGTGACAGTTAGCTTTCAAAGGGATGAATGAGTGCTCCCTTGTATTTATAAGATATCTTTTTCTTCTTTCTACCACACAAAATATCATCATTTAATCTTCCTAAGCACCAACCACTTCACTATGACTTTGTTGTTTTACCAAGTTGTCTCACTATTTACCCATCACTTAAATTTAATAATCTTACCCCTAGTGTATCCAAATGTTACCATCAGTTTGTCCAACACTTTAAACTTTCCCAACTTTACTGCAAACAGTTTACTTCAAACCTGAACTCGATTCATAGTCTTCTGTGGTCATGACTATCACCAAACTCTATCCCAGACCCTTCTGCCTTCCCTTGGACATCCTTCTCATCCACCCACTCAGACTCTACTTAGATCTTTTTCATAATGGATATCTTTTCAAAGTCTATTAGCACATTTAAATCCTTCCCAAGGCTACTCAAGTCAGCATGATGGGTAGGGTATGCCAGGACTTTCATCAAGATCCTTGACACTACACTGTTAAAAAGGATAAATACAACCTTATGTTCCTACACTATTTTTTAAATCAGAAAACTCTAGATTATAACATGACATGTCTAAATTCAAAGAAATATCAGAAACTAACTTGTTCTTTTTAAAAAATGCTACAGATTTGACAATCTGAGTAATGACTGAATATCTGATATAAAAGAACTTGATAAAAATTCTGAGATGGCATTGGAATTATGTTAATTTTTAAGTTTACATTTAGAAAGATACTGAAATATTTTATGGCTAAAATAATATATGTTTAAAATTTGCAACAAAATATGTTGGGGTGAGGGTAGATGAAGCCAAGAACAGAATTAACACAGGAATTCATGATATCTTGTCTACTTTGTGTCTGAAACTCCCTACTAAGATGTGTCACAAGGCCTTAGTGTGACTCCCTGCTCCCACAGCCCCTGTGTGCTGAGCCCAGAGACCCCCATCTCCAGTTTCCTTTACAATCATTTCCTACTTTGAAAGAACACACTCCCTTGACTAAAATGATATTTTATTTCTCACTAATTCTTTCATCTTTTGGGACTTTTACATAATTCTTCTCTCTGGCTATAAACACCTACACTTCAATTTATTTCCTGTTTCACAAAGCAGTGATACAGAATGTATTGTCTGTTCTTTGCTCATTCTGGGCAAAGCTTTGAAAGTTCAAATCAACAGGTAGTTTGTTATGCTAATGAAGTAATGCTAGTTCCAGGATTGAGTCTGGTCACAGGAAACCCCAAACACAGGATGAAAGGGCTGGAACTTTCAGTCACTTAACCTCCAGTTATAAGAAAGGGACTAGAGCTTGAGTTGAATCATTGAAATTAACGATATAAAATCTAGTCTATAAAATTGTATCTATGGTTGAAACTCCCTAAAACCTCTGGATGCCAAAGTTTGCTGCAGTCTTCTGGTTGGTTAACACACGGATAGGCTCAGAGGAGGAAGCCTTCAAGGTAAGAACCCGAACATTGATCAGGTGAGACAAGGAGCCCAAAACACCAGGTCCTGAAATGTCCTTGTGCTGGCAGCAGAGGGCTGGCCACAAAGGACAATGTATGTTTAGATAACATAGCATCATTACAGATTTTATGGATGTCCAGCATAGTTAATGCTAGACACACAGGGACTAACTATGAAGTAAGCATTGCAGGTCAGGGGAATCCTTAAGTAAACAGTAATGTCATCCATTATATGACTATTTTTGGCAAAATGCAACACTCACATGGGTTTTGTATAAATGTGGTCTCGAGGACAGAGGCCTTTGCCCACGTGTGTCTGTGTACATGCTTGTCTTCCTGTGACTATACCCTCCTATGCATGGCTTTGTGTGGGCCTTGAGGCCTTTGCCTGGAGTGAACAGCCTATGTATGTCCTATCTTCCTGAGACTTGACATCTTCTTATACTTCCAGGCCTCCCATGACCTGCCTTCATTCCTGGCATGGAACTTGGAACACATCAGCTCTCTGGCCAGGACACCTGGGAGTTCTGCTTTCCTGCTCCCTATGGACCCTTGCCTTGATGTTCTACATGAAGGAGGAAGGTGAGGAACTAAAACTACATTAATCCCTTCTGGTGAGCAGCTCTGGACTGGGTGTCTAAATTTTTATCATAAGTGTGTTGTTACATATTTCCCCCAATCTCAACCCATCTCCTGATTGATTATAGTGCTACTTCTTTAGAGGAGAATTGTTAAAGTGGCAGGAAAAGGTCCTTTAACAAAAGCTATTACCTTCTAGTCACAGAAATGAAATCTACCTCTGGGTGGAAACAAGCCATTCTTTCCTCCTTAAGGAGTTAATCCAGTTGAGTAAGTCAACTGGCTGGTTATGTGGACACCCCTAGGAAAGGCAGATTCACCCAATGTCACGTTAAAAAAGAGGGAAGGAATATTTACTCCTTTAATAAGATAATAGACCTTTCTTTCCCAGAATTCCCACCCTCTGTACAGTTGCTCACAGAGCAGCTAACCTCTTTTCTTTTCCTGTATCTTCATCTCTTTTGAAAATATACTGTACCGGATGCTTTGGGTTTCCTCACTCTGTGTCAAGTGTTTCAAACCATTTATTGGCAGTGGCTTCCTGCTTCGGAATCAATGTCTAACGGTAAAGAGGCACTTTCTCTCCTCGGCTTTTCAGGCAGCTGCTGACATTTAGAGTTTGCCTGCCCTAGAGTTTTCCTTTTAAGACTCAGTAAAACTGTCCTAAAGATTTCTTCCCAGTCTGTTCTCAATTTCCTTATTATTGACACTAAGAACCCAAGAGGGGCCGTGGCCTGCTTGTGAGACTTTAGTGATCCTTCCCAAATTTTCTGGTAATATTCTACATGCAAAGGACACAGAAACTATGTGCCTTTCTCCAGATCTTATCATATGTGCATCTTTTACAGAATGATAAGCACAGAAGTTTCCTGAATTTCATGAATCACTACTCTATGAATTACTGAATTGTAGTATAGCCAGCTGCCAGTTGGTTAGATAACAATACAACACTACTCTAATTTTCCTGAAGCTGACTTACTATTTTATTATTTTTTGTTTTTTGTATACTTCAAAGCTAGTATAGTTACTGGCATATAGTAAGTGCTCAAAAAGGATCACTGAACCAAAATAATTCAGTTTTCCTCCTAGCTTAATGAGCACACACACACACACACACACACACACACACACACACACACACACACACAGTCCCTACATCACAATTAACAGGTGAGGAGGAACTTCCTGCTATTTTCATTCAAGTCCAGAACTTTAACTTACAGTTGATTCTCGTTATTCGCGGTAGTTATGTTCTATAAAGTCGCCGCGAATCACTGAACCATTGCTCCTAGGGGAAATACAGGGTTAGGTTCCTGCAAGCCTCTGGTCATAACAGCTTTCATCAACTGATCAAGACATAACCTTGTTATATGGGTTTCTATTACAAAATGCTTATTTAAGATTGCTGATTCATAAACATTGAATTCACAGCAAGTAGTATTAACTCATTCTGAACATAGCCTTTCTAATGTCTACAGCCATAAATATGGCATTTTCCCATGTTTTGCTAATTGTTCCAATGTAATTTCCATGAGCTACATCACAGCTTTTCTGTGCTTATGAATATTAGACAATGACTCAGTCTTCTGTTTGGAAGTCATTCTATTTTGTTTTTTGTAACAGGATTTCTCTATGTAGTTTTGGCTGTCCAAGAAGAACTCACTATGTAGAACAGGTTAGCCTCAAACTGCTTCCTGAATGCTGGGATTAAAGGCTTGCATTACTGTGCCTGGCCTGGAGGTCATCTTTTGAAAAAGCAAAACTATCAACAAAAAGTCAAAGTGAAATAAAAGTAGCCTTGACTAGACAAACAGGGTGGTTTTTTGTGAGAGTTAAAAGAAGCAAACAAAATAGCTTTGTTAGGCCCCAACTGGGAAAATATGTGTAGGTCCACAACCATTTTTTACCACCTGGTAGAAATCCATGACTGACTAGGAAGGCTCTGTCCACATAAGAGCTCTGGTGTTACAAATATTTTAGTCTGTGGGATAATCTCAAGTGTAGAATGAAGAAATATTGGTGAATGCATGGTATTCAGAAGAACATTATATAATTATATATATATGTGTGTGTGTGTATACACACACATATATATATACATACATACATACATATGTATATATATGCAACAACACATTTAAAAGACTAAATTTATAGTTGTTTGGATTTGAGAAATAAAACATGAGTGAAAATCACAGAATTGATGAAATACTTTAAAAACTTTTATCATAAAAGTACTATTTCTTTTGAAATTAATTCAGGATGGTCACACTTATTTGTGAGAGATATAATGTAAGCACGTGTGTACATGCTCACGTGCACACATGAACTAGAGGGGGATGTGGTGTAAGCACACGTGTATATGCTCACATGCAAACATGAACCAGAGGGGGCAGTGCACTGCATGTTCTCTATCATTCACTCTTCTGCCCTACTCCTTTGAGGCCATAGTCTCTCCTGAAACCCGGAGGGAGGTTGTTTGTTACTGTCAGGCAGGCAGGAAGCCTCAGAGCAGCTCCTATCTCTGCCCACTACCATAAAAGGGTGACAGGCACATTATGGGACTATTGGGTTTGTTTTTTGTGTGCTTAGGATCCAAACTCAG